GCTTTGCTCGCTGGTCCTCTTAACATATTTCTGAGCACAGTATGATGCAGCACGCTGGTAAAGTAGTATACTTATGCAAACAAAATTGATATTCATGCTTCATCATAGAACTATTGGTATTTCCTAGACTCGCGTTACGTTAAAGCTTTTGTCATATTCGCTGCCGCATATTGCTTGCTATGTTTAACCCGAAGGCTTGCCAACCTCGTGTATGTTAGACACTTCTCTCATAAATGAAAGGTTCTCCATTCTAACAATATTAAAATCAGGCACAAACTCTCTAGGGTCAGGGAGATTCAATCGATAGAGGTCGTACTCACAGCCGAAAGATCGTAAATTTGAATACTGGCAGGGTCACTTCCCTATTATGCTTTTGAGTTAGATCAATGAGTACCACTGTGATCACGGAAAAGAGGCAGGAAACTAAGTGCTCATGCAGTAACTTAACATGTAGAAGGCATATTTGGCTGATGGTATCGAAACGGACTTCAGCGTCAAGCTCCACCACAAATTAGAAGATAGCCGGACTTCACAATAGTCACAGATTTTCCATTCCCGTTTTCAGATTAAGTGCCGAACTTGACCACGCTTTGGTATGGTACTTCATCTGGCAATAATGGCGTACAATTGAATATTGAACGAAATGGCGATTTAAGTAAAAAAACAAGTTCGGTGTTTTTCGATCTTTCTGAGCCTCGAAACGAGGCTTCATTTAGAGTTACTTATATAATAATTTCGCGCAATTGTTGTAAAGAGGAGTCTGCACTTGAATTTTGATTCTCTGTACGACTGCCCCGACTACTTCCCCCTGCTAATTAGATGATTCATTTCTAATTCATCCAACTGGATAGATGGCAAGAAGTCGAACTTTGTCAGAGCTCATAATGTCTTACGAGTAACAAAGGTGCCTTCCGGGAAATTCGTTACGTGATGGGCTAGGCATTGGAAATAATTTAGAATTTATTAAAATTTGAAAACTTTATATTATGAGGTAAATTTAATATCGTATCATGCTGTTGTAAAGAAAAAATTCCATCATTGCTTATAAGCGTCGAACCCTTTATTTCG